AGATGAAATCCAGTATAGGCTGTTACGAATGGCCCTTACTAACCTTCTTGACCCTCATGAGACAGCACTTTAAATATCATGTCCTTCTCGATCATCTGAAAGTAGACCAAGGTAAACGATTAGCTCTTGCCTTTTTTCTATGCTCCTAACCCATACACTCAAGCCATCAAAGCCCTTGATGAACGTTATGGGAAACCAAGGCAGCTAGCATTGAAAGACCACCCAACATAGAAACTGAGAGTTAATAACACGGGGAACAAAGGAGGGCAGGAGAACTGAGAGAAGAAAATCAATACCTGCAAACTACAAGCTAGAACACAAACTACACTGCAAAACTATTTGACCTTAAAAATGCAAAATTACTATATATGACAGAACTAATCCTACAAAAAAATACATTAGTAAATAAATCATGGGTGTCCAACTCCAGGCCTCAAGGGCCGGTGTCCTGCAGGTTTTAGATATCCTTGGTCCAAAACAGCTGATTTAAATGGCTAGATCACCTCCTCAACATGTCTTGAAGTTCTCCAGAAGCCTGGTAATGAACTAATCATGTGATTCAGGTGTGTTGACCCAGGGTGTTATCTAAAACCTGCAGGACACCGGCCCTCGAGGCCCGGAGTTCGACACCCCTGTAATAAATGAAAGCTCTAAAACAGAACATGAAAGGCAAACTAAGAATCCACAGAATACTTGATAACAATTACAAATAGAAAGTCCCAACTCAACATCAGATCCATGACAGGTTAGGAACCATCGAACTCACAACATCCCATGTTCACATCACTACTAAAATTACACAGAGTAATTGTTTTTATTTTTATTTTTTGCCTGTCCCGTTTGGTTCTTCAGCCATCAGAATTGTTGTCTGAAGGCCAAGAAAGATGCCCAACCGATTTACTTTACTAATCATCACCACCAAGCAGCCACCGGGAGTGAGCCGGACACCAAGAACCACCAACGCACCGACCCCTGAGGGCATGGAGTGTGGTGAGGGGACCCTCAGAGTAAATATTTGCCTTTTAAAGTTTATTTCAAATCACTGATTCTCTCTTGTGTTTATCACTTATAAAATAAAACCACATTAATATTGCTGCTTCTAACTACACTTATGCCAAACAGTTGCTGACTCAGCTGCACTAGCTTCACGTTAAATTCAGAGTCAACTTGAAAATTCAGATTTCGATCTTTTGAGCTCTGCATGGACGAACACCAGCATCTGAACCTTTACATCTGGATGTCCCCAGGTCCCTCAGGTCATGTGATCTGTGTATCATACAAACTAATGAAAGCAGATCTTGTGCCACAGTGGCCCCCAGACCCCGGAAAGCTCTCCCTTTGAGCTTGAAGTCTGTGGACTCTTTCCAAAAACACTTTAAAATCTTCTTTTTAAACTTGTTATTGGTTAACTTTTGTTTTTATGTTCTAACATTTTGTTTTTAAGTACTTTGAAGATAAACAAAGGTTCTAAATAAATAACATTTGATGTACTTTTATTTTACTTTCCTTGTCTGTCTGCTCATTGATTTCAGAAACTATAACTTGTCCTGATCTGTTCTCTGTTGGGGGTCCATTCTGCTACGATGGGTCATTGAAGTGCAATCACCAGAAATAACTGGATTCTGTCTCAATAATTTGTGTTCTTCCTTATTGACCTGGATGTTGTTGTTTTATAATTTTGGATTTCCTAATAGCACTGATTGTAAATCCTGCTGTAACCAGATGTTTCTCTCTCTAAGGGTGAGTTTCTGTTTCTTTAGAGTTTAGGTCAGATCTTCATTTTAAACACTAAACTGTTGATGTGGCAACAGCTCTGTCTCTTTCTTTCCTTCATACCTGATGAAGCAGGACTGGGCACTGCTGCCGTGTGACTGCACTGTGACCCAAACACTGTGATTACTGATTTTTCTTCAGAAAGTGCAACGACTCCTGGGACTGTAGAGGTTTTACCTCTGAAGCTGTGTTAATGTTTGGTTTCCTCAGTGCTGTTCACACTTGCAGTACAAAAACGTGTTGCAACACTTCCTGTTTGTGTGTTTGATGTGTCTGAAGATCAGCCTGAGGGTGCACTCTGACTTACTGTGTGGGTTTGAGGTTTTTCTTCAGAAACACATAGAATATAACTCAAACTTATCTTTTAAATCATTTCTCTCTTTCTCTTTTTCCTGGTTTTTAGTTTTTCATGTGTTTAATTTTTTGTTTCTTCATCTGCAAACATACATGATGGAACAGGACTGGGCACTGCTGCAGTTATTACAGATTTTTCCTAGTAAAAAATTAGTTGAGCAACAGCAGTGCAAAGACTCCTCTGAGTGTTAATGTTAGTGTTCAGCTTTTAATAATGTTGGATCATTATTTCAGTTCTTGTAGAAGTGTGATGTGTTTTAGCACTTGATACTACTTAATTTCTCCTGTTGGTACCTGACGAGGAGAATAATTCTTCTAAATGTTCCACACTTGAAGCAAGTTGATCCTTTAGCGAGGACATTTTCTTTGACTCCTTAAGCTGTGCACACTGTGCTGTATGACAGGTAGAGGGGACGGCTATCTGCCATGACTGATCAGGGGTCAGCGGAGGAAGACAGAACAAAGACACACTGTGGGAGAGAGCCAGATTAATAATAAGTAATGAATGAACACAGTACTGATGTATGAACACAGAGTGAAAAAAGGTGAGCGAAGAAGAAACAGTTAGTGCATCATGGGAATCTCCCAGCAGCCTAGACCTAACTGAGGGAGGATTCAGGGTCAGCTGATCCAGCCCAAAGTTTGAAGCCTAATCTTGAAAGTAGAGATAGTGTCTGTCTCCTGAATCCAAACTGGAAGCTGGTTCCACAGAAGAGGGGCCTGAAAACTGAAGGCTCTGCCTCCCATTCTACTTTTAAATACTCTAGGAACAACAAGTAGGCCTGCAGAGCAAGAGCCAAGTGCTCTGTTCTTGGTTGTACTTTTACATTTCCTACTAGTTATTAGTTAAACTAATTTATTCTCTAAAGAATTTTTAAAAATGAATACAGTTTAAAAAATAATCAATAATTAGTTTTAAAATATCAACAGGTCAAAATAAAATCACATCAATTTACTACAGAATAAATTGTTCCACATACTGATGCTGTCAGATTGGATTTCATCAATCTGCTGAGAAATTAACACAAAGAAATTCAATGTGGTTTAATCCTGAGAGGCTGAGCTCTGAGATGTTGTACACAGTTACTCTGTCATACACAAAATACCCGAGGACAGAAACTAAAGAGAAATGAAATACTCATCTGAGCAATCACATCATCAATTCAAATATACTATCTTAACATAGGAAAGCAAATTTTGATCCAACAGGTCATTAAAGTTTAGATTAAACTCTACTTTCCCTTTCATTCTAAAGTATGAGAGAAACTTTTTCAGCAGCTGCTGCAGTTTTTCTTGAATGACAAAGAAAAAAAAGGCAAAGATGGTGAAATTTTTAGGATTAGCTTTAAACTTAATGTCATGTCTTCAGCAGTGTATCATCATTAGTGGAACTGCATCAACATCCCAGGTGCAGTTCTCAGCTCGTGGGTCGGGCCTCTGGCTGCCTGTGGTTCTGTGGGGCTCTTGGTCTTTGGCTGTGAGGGCTCCCTCCTTCTGCTGGGGTGGGCACACACTTGTCACTGAGATGTCTCCTCAGCTCTTTGGTACTCTTGGGGTGCTGTTTATTTTTTTATGTTTGTGTCTTCCTAACCAGTTGGTGAGTCATTGTGCCCTCAGTGTTACAGTAAAACAGTGGTTCCCAAACAAATGCTTTTGTTTTGTGAAAAAGTGAAAAATGAGCATTGTTACATAACCATAAAATTATATATTTATAGTTCACACTTCATATTGGACAGGGTTATTTTAACAAACAAAGGACATTTTGCCTGATAATTATTTTTATCCTCCTGTAAATTTATTGTATAAAGAACTAAAACCTACAATGTTTCAGGACCAGTTAGTTGTTATAAGAAGTGTTTGTGAACTAATCAAATCAAGCATGTGGGATAGCTTACTGTTTGTCCGTGATTTTGCCTCCCGACGCAGGCAAAACAAATTCTGTCAGGGATACCTGCCTTGAAACAACAGCTGTTGTGCAAGTGAAGCCAAAGGCAACATATGATTCATCATATGTTGCCTTTGGCTTGGAAGAAAGTTGGATTGGAAGCCTATTTGGCGATGCGTCAAACTCTGCTTTGTGTTTTTGTGGGAGCCCCGTCAAAAAAGTGTGAATGTGTGTGTGGATGACTGGATGGCTTGATGGCTTTGGGGTCGTTGGGGACTAGTAAAACACTATTCACAGACCTTCAAAGTAAAATAGGAAGTATAACACAGAGACGCAAGCTTGACATGGTGGAGACAGAGCAACTAAGAAACACAGAGACATAACCATAAGGCAAATAACCAAAAATGATAAATAATACACAGAGGGAAATCCTGGAACACAAGAAACTAAACTAGAGGGAGTAACAAAAGCATGAGAACATAATTCACAATACAGAGTGACAGAAAACACAAGAAACTCAAAACATGCGAAGACATAGACCAAGAAACAGAACAGAGGGAGCACAGAGAAACATGAGGGGCAAGGGATCAAAACTAGAAACCATAGAATAAATCACACGAGTAAAAAATACAAAAATCACAAAGAACTAAAAAAACGCTGGGTCAGGAGTCCCAGGATCCTGACAACGAGGCAGGTTTGCCCTTGCTGACAGGCAGTTAGTGGGGCACACACATCAAAACCTCCCAGCGACCCTGACAGAAGAGGATGGATGGAAAATTAAAATTTGAATTAAATCCAAAATGGAAGCCATGAGCATTTCTTTTTCTTTACTTTACTTTTTTTTTTTAATGTTTCTCATTATTCCAGGAAACCAGTCATTTATTTCATTAATCCCGTCAGTCTTCACTGTCTTTCACAAAGCCACCGGAAGTGCAGTTATGGTTTACTACTTTAAGAGAATAGAAACTCAAAGTGTTTTGGAGCGCGTCAATGCGCTTGGAGGAGTGGCTCCGCGCTCCGTTTTATTAAAGAGATATAACGTTTGATCCTCAGAGGGTTTCTGCAGACATGGAGCTTCTACCACTTCTGATTCCGAGCTTCTGTTTCCTGACTTTGTCCGGACTGACGTTTGGGGCAGAATCCGGTAAGAAACTCACTGATTTAGACTGATCATGTGTGCAGGCGCAGTCACTTTTCACAGCAGCGGATGGAGCTTTAACGCTGCTCAGGCTGCTGCTTTAGTGGGTGGATGACTGCGGCATGTACACCTGTGACATCAGCTTTTAACGCAGCTGCATTTTAGTGTTGAAATAATGAGAGAGAGGGAGAGGATTAATGTACAGCATGTTCAACAATGAAACATTTTAAGGTGTTTTAAGGTGTAGGTGTGGCGTCTTTGTTAGTGCGCTGCTTCCTGCAATGACAACTATTTTCTTTCCTGGAGACTGCGTGTCATTTGTTTATGGCTGAATATGACATTCATGCAGAAACAAATATCCACTACTTCTACTAATACAGAGATTAGTGTAGAAGTAGTGTTTAATAAACATGGACAAATACATGTGAAAAGCTGTGAGAGATCCAGCAGCAAAATGTGTCAAACTAACCGACTTGTTAGTTGTCAGACTTCTGTTCGCGGTGCAGCAGACTTTACGTGATGTTTTTCACTCCACTCATAGAGGCTTTTTCTGGAAAGGTTTGTTGGCAGAGCGGAATGCAGAAACATTTTACTTGTACTATCTGATGTATATCCAAAAGTCTTCGAGGTTCTCGAACACCCCAGTGTCTATTTATTGCAGTTCAAGTCGTTCAAGTCTAATAATTAGCTTGAAATGGTACAAAGGTAAATGGTAAACTGCCAGAGGTAAGAAAAAAAGGTAAGGTTATCCAAAGAAGAATAATGTAGGCAATGTGAAGGGGAGCTACAGTAAATAAACATGATTTTCATTCAGAAAACATAAAGGAGGGATTACAGATGTTGTGACTGTTTTTCTGTCGAACTGAACTTGGAGTTTTAATGTTCATGTCTTATAAAATCAAACTTGGATTTTTTAAAACTTTCTGAAACATGACAAAATTGTTTGAAAAGCTTTGCTTTAAGCCAGTTTTCTTCTTATACCTGACTTTCAGTGTATATTCATCACTCTGTGTGTGAGCTCACTGTTTAAGTCTTTTGTGTTTCAGTGACATCTGTGATTGTGAAAGAAGATGATGATGCCATTTTGCCCTGTTCCCTCAGCACCAATGAGAACATTGAGTCAATAGTGTTTGACTGGAAGAAGGAAGAAACAGTCCAGGTGTTCATGTATAATAAGGGTGACCATCACAATAATGGCCTCACAGATCAAAATGAGCAGTTCAAAAGTCGAGTCACACATTTTCCAGAAGAGCTGAAGCACGGCAATGCATCCATAAGAATAAAAGAAACTAAGCGGGAGGACAAAGGAAACTACACCTGTTTTTTTCCAAAAAGCAGAAAAATATTCAATGTTGAGCTTGTTGTTGGTGAGTGCTTTTAGAAATAGCCCGATTATTATTTTATAATACTTTCTATATGTTCTGTGCTTTATTGTTAATTTTAGGATTATCATAAATGCATTTTTACTTCAGGCCATCTAGGAAAAGTGAAGGATGGTTGGATGATGGGCAAATTATTGCTATGCCGCAGTCGCAGGGTGATATACGAACAAAGGGTTATGATTTAATTACAAAGCTTCAGCAGAGAGAAATCCCTTTGTATATTGCCTGCTACAGAAGAAATCGACAACCCAGTTCAGTTCATTTCTGCTGTGTTTGAGTAAAATCACAGTAATGTTGATGAGCAGAAATAAGTGGGGGTTTCTTCTGAACCCTCAGTGTGATAACTGAGTGAAGAGTTTTAAGACAGAGTTTTGGCACCGCGCCATCAGATCACATAACATCTCCAACAAAAAAGCGAACACAACAGGCAGAAGACATGATTTTTGTGTATTTTGCCATAATTGTATGCCACAGACGGGAAGGGAAATCCAGCAGCTCTTCAATGTCAAAAGATTTTGTTCTGCAGCAGGCAGCAGACATTCATAAATCTGACCCTAAATGTTCCTTCTTTAAAATTCTAATCTTTGTAATTAAGGGATATTTTTCACAGGCTGTTCTTGTTTATGTGCCTTTTGCATAACATCAGAGTTAGGACACATGATGCTGAATTAAGATACTCAGCTTTTAGTCCATCTCAAATTGCAGTTTCAACACAGTAGACATCCAGCGCCACATCACTAAGGACAGATTAGTGTGAGGTCGTTCCCACTGTTAGCACACCTTTTTTTTTCTACTCTTTTTCTCTTCTCTTTTCCTAACTCCTTGTCAGGTCTCCCACCCACCTTTCCTGGAAAAAGAGGTTAGGAATAGCATTTATGGGGTACTTTTGGAACCCTGAGACCTTCCCATCTCCATGTTGGTCCCGCACCTGTTGACTTATCAAAAATCTGAGGTGTCCATCGACTTTTCACTAAAGAAAATAAAATTGGAGTGAATGCAGATATAAACACTGAATAAATATTCAGACGCATAGCTGTTCAATGTGTGACTCACTGTTTGATCATAAACCATTCACCACCATAAACCAGCCTTCAGTTTAAATGTATTAGGATTTTTATTTTTAATTTGTGACTGTGACTTCTTTGTTAGTTAATGATTTTAAAAATAAGTCCAATATGGCAGGTTTACACTTTGGAGTTTATTTTTCATCAGTTTTATCTGACTGCTGAGTTGATGGAAGCAGAGTCACAGTTAACACATGTGTCTGTTTTCTCTTTCAGAACCAATATTAA